CCTTTCAGCAACTGTATCTGAAAAATATACAACAGTTGCTATAATCTGCATCTTCTGAGATCTCTTTGCTCCAATCAACTATAATATGAAGTCACGTAGAGTCTAGCTCCTATATCGAGCGGACCATCATCCCCACCAACAGCGTGAAGAACCACTGGAATGGTCGAGAACAGTTGAATGGTCAAAGGGAAAACAGCAGGGGCAACCTCGTCTTTTGGTACGCCCTCTGATGGCTCGGTGTCGTTGACAGACATCGCACTGCATTTTGCAACACATAGGTCACAAGGACTCACTATATAGGCAACTTCCTTCAAGGGCTTGAAATAGCCTCTTCCACCTCTTTTGAAATAGAGTTTATTAAGGATTAAGGTTGATGTTGCCTCTAGCCAGTCTGCGCACAAGCCTTCGATTTGGTCGTAGTATAATCTCCGTTCAATCTGTCACAGCAATCAATTACGAGAAGAGTTAAACAGATTGATAAAAGGGATTTTAGATAATTTGATACTAGATGGCAAATGAATCAGCAGGGACTTACACCGAGCTTGCTAATGTAAATGGTCATAAATCTTAATCCCAAGTTCATTACTCTAGCTTCACACGGAAAAACCTGCACAGAAGGAATTAATGAGATTTCTAAACAATGATAAACATACAAAGCAGCCAAATGATGCAAATTTCCAATTTACTTGCCTCTTTTTTCTTCAGCACAAACCAAGTGTAGAGCTTATCACATGCATCTTTGACTCTTCGGGACGCCAGCTTCCTCTCATTGCAATGAGCAGCGACATCAGAGAGTATTTCAGTGGAAGGAACACCATATTTCAAACCAGCGACCGACAATGCTTCTTTGCCCTCCATAGATTCTGCAGCATCTTTATTGAAACGAATGCCGGTAAAGCAGCCTCTCACTTCTTCAATTGATGTTTGCTTAAGCTTTGAGTACAACATCTCAGCTTCAATAGCAGCAGCTACTGCACGGTGAACGACTATGTCCGCGTACCGTCGAAGAGGAGATGTGAAGTGAGTATAGAGAGGAACAGCTAGTGCATAGTGTCCCCACTCAGCAACATTGTCCTTCAAATTCCCAGTGCAAAAGTAAGATGCCAATTGCATAGGTTTTACAGCATAATTGTTGAGAATATCTAACAAAACTGAGTCATCCTTGAGGTTTTCCGTGATTTTCTCCAGTGACTCCTGAAATTGGCCAGAAGAAGAAACGTCCAAATCCATACCATGCTTCGAACAAAAGCCTTCAAATTCTTTGAGCTTGCGCATATTAGGTTCTGGATGCTTCCGCAGCAATGAGCTGTCAGGGTAAGCTCGAGAAATAACCTCAGCCGCAGTCGTATTTGCTAACAGCATAAACTCCTCAACAAGAAAATTCGAAACCTTTGTAGAACACAACACAAAATCATACGGAACTCCATCTTCATCAAAGACAAAAACGGGTTTTGAATTCTCCAGCTGCAAAGCCCCGTTTCTAAATCTCTTCTGCCTTAAAATGGTTGAAATCTCACTAAGCTGTTTGACAGATCGAATCACGTCACTCCACTGGAAAGATCCGTGCAACGCAGGCCAGCCATTTTCGGCAACATCATTCCTCAACATCTCATCTGTCCCCTCTATAATGCCTTGAGCATGGTCATATGAAAGCTTGCAGCACGACCGTATAACAGTACGACCAATCCAGTGATCTATCACTTCCCCTTCTTTATTTATATCCCAGAAGATAGAAAAAGCAAGCCTATCAGCTCCTGGATTAAGTGAACCTACGTTCTCTGACAGTAATGGAGGCAACATTGGTACTTTTCTCTGCAGCATATAGACACTTGTCGACCTAAACTGAGCTTCTGTGTCAAGAGCAGTGTCTGGTAAAACGAAGTAGGAGACATCAGCAATGTGAACACCGACTCTACAAAAACCGCCGGCTAAACTTTGCACTGATAGAGCATCATCGAGGTCTGTTGCCGTTGAGGGGTCGATGGTTAATACACACAGGTCTCTCAGATCTTTCCTGCGTTGAACCTCTGCTTCTGGTACTTCCCAAGGAACACGTGGAAGGCTAGCAAGCGAGCCAGAAGAAAATTCAGTATCGCAAACTGAGTTCTGATACAATATCGCATTGATCTGCGGCTCCAATTCACTGCCTCGGCCAAAGATATGTGTGATATGGGCTAGAGGAAACGGGCTCCCTTCGCCCCAGTCCATAATTTGGGCTGCTACAAGCTCTGCCTTGAGTGTTGGATCGATACTTTCGAGTCTTGCTTTAATGCTTCCAGGTAAGACATGGAAGGGAACAATCAATTTCGGAAACCTAGGGTCTGCAGGTATCAGCTGGACGTATTCATCATCAGAAAGAGGCAAAGGAGACTTGCTCGTTTTGGCATCACCTTCCTTATAATGAATCCACCCCTGAACATCCAGCAAGCCAACAATAGAATCTCTTACAAGTGATTTTTCAACAACAGCAACTACTTGTCCAGTTGGTCGTTTGTAGGGGAAGGAACTAAGGATGGCGCATAACTTCTCAACCGCAGTGCAATTTCCTTTCTGCTCACTAGGAGAACCCAAACATGATTCCAATAAGGGGGTAGAACTACGACCAACACAGTTCATAGCCCCTTGTCCTATAACTGAAGATTTGTTTGTCGAGGGCCCATTTCCAAAACCTTCCGCAACATCAACAGCATGTTTCCGTCGAGCATTTTTGTTATCTGCATTTATCTCACCTTTTCCTAAATTGCTAAGAGGCTTGTCTTTCTCTGGGGAAATGTTTGTTTCTTCAGACTTAGCAACATTCTCGGTAACAAATCCTTTCATCTTTGGCCACAATGAGAACGGATCCAATTTAATAACAACAACATCTCCTTCCACCTACAAAAAGAGAAAGACAAGTATGAATTTGAAAAACCAAGCAATGATCTTTAAAAAAACCTCTCCAACACGGGCCAAAAGGAAACGAACACAGATGGAGTACGGAAAAAAAAAACGGGATGCTTGACGATATGGATAACCAAACTTACTGCTCTATTTTGGCTAATATTTCCAGTAATTAGAATGTCTGTAGGGACTCCATCGATCTTACAGTAAGCCTTCAAAAGGAAAACAAAAACAAATTCAGAGTGAACGAAGAAACCAACAATCAGAGATTTAAGTCACTTAAGAAATCAGATGTCACTTCCAACCTCAATGCGGTTATGAGCATTCACCCGAAATGGTGCCTTAAAAGCTTCACCTTTCTGCTATGATACATAGAAGAGAAGACAAATATGAGGTCCACATACTATAACTTAAATGTTCTTTTTTTGCAAGGAAAAAAAAAGGAAAGAGAACATCAAAGACAAACCTCTAAAGCTTCTTTCACAGCATCAAGAGACCAATGTGAAGAGAAAATCTTCCGCTGTGATGAACCTTCAATTTGCTGGAACAAGTCACCATCCATCCTAGGAGACTGCTCACAATCCCTAGGATCAGGACACGACTTCGATAACAATTGTCTACTAATTTCCGCAGAAGGAACCGGCGGACTTCTTCCAGAGCTCCTGGTATAACAACTTTCCGCTCGCCCATCGAAATACATAGGCGGCGTAGAATTGAAAGCTACATTAGACGCTCTCATAGCTTCAAGCTCACTAGTATTATCCAAATCCAATCTCTGCTGCTTCGTTAAAGAAGTACAATCTTTCGGTTTACTCCCACTGGTTCTACCATTCGACCCCTCCACATGAAGGTCTGTTCCAAGCCATTAAGGTTGTAAGGTAAAGGTAACTCAAGCCATCAGAAATGTCTTATTTCTCAAATTATGAATAATCAGCCTAAGATTAAAGAAGATAGGTATCAAAAAAACCAAAACCCTAGAATCACATTGATCAAGAATCAAAAGAAACTCCTACTTCAAACACTAGCTAGCTACTTGAACCTACTTGCATCAACATATCGTAAAGCCAGAGCAATTAAACTAATCCAATCATAAATGAGGAAATCAATTTTGCAAAACAAAAAAACCCTAATTACCTGAGGTGTTCTTAGATCGACGATTAGTTTTGCGTTGCTTCTTCTTCTTCTCTTTATCACCGTTTTCGATTCTTTCACCAGTTTTAACTGATTGTTCCGCTAAAACAACACTCTTCATCATAGCTATATAAAGTAATACAATCTTCAACGAACTCCAATGAGATCTCTGGGTAAAATATCTAAAACTCCAGGGATCTTCTTCCGATCAGATGCAACAAAAAAAACACAAAACGGAAGAAACCCAAAATGGAAAAAAATCCTAAAAAATGGAAAAGAAATCAAAGAAGAGTAGAGAGAGATCTTTGGGATCTTTGTTTGTTTATG